GCTCTTTGATAAAAACAGCAACTTGCCTTTAAATCACTAGGATCCAGTTTCCGTACGGACGTTTGAGTGCTGATTGTCATAGCAAAGCGAGAAATTGAATCTGAACTGCGACCCTTCAACTGCCTTCAGCTAACAGTAATATTCAAAGTTATTTCAAAGTCATTTTATTCGGCAAGCATACTTGTTTTTCTATCTCTTTATTTGCGCTTGATGAAACAATGTTTAGGCAAAGTACTTCATCATCATTTCCCTGGGTACAAGGGTGTGCAAATTTTGAAAAGCTGTGTGAGAAAAATTTCTTGTTAGCACGGGTGCATAGATAAGGTTTATTTCTGACTTTACTAATGAGAACCAATTATTTACTTTCAGTAACACGCGACCCGTGCTCAAGTCAACAGTTGCTATGAAGCATTTTTGTTATCGCTGTAGTCAATCATCTAATTGGACCTCTCAGGAAACAGTAGTTCGCTTCAATCAAATTTCCATAAGAATGCACCTTGCCTAATTAAAATATGAATGGGCTTACAAAGAGGAGAAGTTTTGAGAGCCTTTGTTCAACAAACTTGTTTTTAATACGTGCGGGAGACAAAATAAATAGTGTCTGATGTGTGCAACAAGCAGGAATAAGATATAAAGGAAAACAAAACTCAAACTTTGTCCACTGAATATTTGTCATATGATAACTTCAATTTTGAAATAAAAAAGGGGAGTGCCCATGCTCATTAAGAAGCAGTGAGGCATTGAAAATGCCCCATTTTGGCATTACTTGATGTTTATTATAAGAACGCATTCCCAGTAATTGTAAAATCTTTGTGAGCCCAGACTCATAAAAACACGCATTAAACTACAGTCAATACATTGTRGGACACAAATAAACATTTTAAGTTTGATTCAGACAGAAAGCTAAATCCCTGATTAAAAATTTGAACCAAATTTCTTGACGTGGCTACCAAACTGCAAAATAGAAAAGACCACAGTGTATCTGCTATTTATTCTTATTTATTCAATTTTCAGCAATAGAAATTAGATCAGTCTTTTCTCACGCAAAGCCTATGATTAGTTGATTACAGTGACTGAAAACAACATTGGGGTGCCCGTGCTTGTTGGTGAGCTAAAGCCATTTTTCAACTGACAGAGCTCAATATCAAGCCAAATCCGTCATGTTTTCAATAAGCGTGTGCATGAATGCACACTAATGACGCCATAAATTATGCGCAGTAAGGATGTGTGATGTAAATGTGAGGAATGACCTTAAAGGAGCTCAGTCACAGTTTGCACATATTGAAAAGTTTGGCCTCAATTTTTCAAATTTCTCGTTTGTAATCCGTGTTAATCTTCCCCACCCTTAGCCATCCTTGTTCCTTTATGGTTTATCATTATCTCTTTG